GTCTCCCCCGGTAACCACGCTGGGAGAGTGCTTCCCACTGGGACCCTCGCTGGCCTCGAGGCCAACATGTGAAGGCAAGGACATCTGGTCAGTTTCCTGCCAAGGAGACGCTTCCCTCCTCCCTGCCCTTCCTCTAGGAATGCGAGGCTCAGGGAAGCTGGGGGCCCGAGATCTTGGGGAGTTGTTGCAAAACCAGGACGCGGCTCAGCCAGGGTCGTCGACCCGTCTGTCGGCCGTGAGTGTGGGTCACGGCGGGCGGTGGCAGGGTCCCGCTCGCCGCCCCGGGCCCCGGCTGCGGTCGGGGCTCCGGCCCCCAGCATTCCGCACATTGTGACCAGGAGGCCTTGCCGGCTACACATTCCTCTTCTGCATCTGGTTGGCTGGAACCCAATTACCTCCCGTACAACTTGGCCCGGCCCACGCTCTGGCCCAGCACCTCTTCAGGCGGAGGGATATGGCGTCGGTACGTGCTGAAGCCGGGGCGAGATATTATTTGGGAGAATATGAAATCCCCCTGGATTCAGACAGAGTTCAGGCTGTCTGGACAGACTTGCAGGGCAGCCCAGAAAGGATTTTAGACACCGTCCAGGCTTCGTGCTACAGGTGGGGAAACCGGGGCCAGGAGAGGTGGTCCCAGAAGGCCGGCCGGGGCAAGACTAGAGGCTCCCAGCTCTGTTGAGCACTGGGGTGACTTTGTTCCCAAACCCTCGGGTTCTGTGCTGACCCAGCTCCCGCCCCTTCCCCCCCCCCCCACCCCCCCTGCCTGTGAGGCCACCACAGGGCCGAGGGCAGCTCAGGGCCCGCAGCCTGAGGCCCGGCCAGCGGCTGACTTCCCCACTCCCCTTCCTGGACAGTGAATGGGGAGGCCATTGCACCCTAGGCTTGGACCATCCTGGAACAGGGGGCCTGGGCCATTCTGAGGTCAGCAAACCCCGTCACATCACCGCTAAAGAACCTCAGCCTTTGCTCCGTGTGGCCCACGCCTCCATTGCCCCGGGGAGGGGATACCCGGAGGTGGGATTTCGGCGCGTCTGGGGCCCCAGCTGGGCACCAACCTACCCCACCCCCGTCGCACCCGTCGAATGTTCTTGCCCCGTTTCTGTCATGTCTAGGAGCGGGCCCACCAGGCCCCCTGGGGGACTCCCAGCTCCTAGGGCAGGATGGGGTCCTCCCAGTAGGCCACAGGGCAGGCTGCAGTGACCTCACCTCCAGGCTGTTTGACGTGACCTCCAGAGCAGCAGGGAGGAGGAGGGACCAGAAGAGGGCTGTGTGACACAGCCAGGCGCCAGGCAGACTCTGGGCTCTGCACTCGCCCAGCTGCCCAGCCCCCTAAAGGCCCCGCAGCATCCAAGGACACACACACACACACGAGTGACCCCGCAGGACATTAAATCCGTGTGTTTGGAGATTGGCCGCTCTTCCTAAGGAGTGAGGCAGCGTCCCCCCCACCCTGGGCGCTGGCTGTCACGTCCCTTGTAGGAGCCGCTATGTGCTTCTAGCCAGGCAGTGGAGAGAAAGAAGCCTGTGCTGGTCACCCCCAGGGTGTGTGCTCCTTTCGTCCTGCCAAGGGGGTCAGGGGGCCGTGGGATGAGGGACCCCTGTCCCGGGGACCCCTGTCCCGGGGCCGGGCCCTTCCCCAGCTGAGAGGCCCGAGTCACCTTGTGTTCCCTCGCTTGCCCTGCCACAACTCCATTCTCCCTCCTGGGAACCTGTTCCTGGGACCTTCCTCACTGCCATGTCAGCTGCCCGGGGAGTGACCAGGCCCTGTCTCCAATGCAGGCAGGGCTGTGCTGCCGAGTCCTTTCTGCCCCCACCCCCACCCCAGCTAGGCTGTGAGCCAGGCTGTGGAGGAGGGAGGGGCGCATCCCAGGGCCTCCGGGTCCGGCTTACGGCCCGGCACCAGTGAGGGGGTTGCTCCCAGCCAACAAGCCCGGAATTAATTCTAGAACCAGGTGGGGGGCGCAGGGGCTGGGTGGTAGAGGGCAGAGGTGCGGGGAGGAAGGTCAGCATCGGGACTAGATCCTGCGGTTTGGTCAGGACTCAGAGGAGAACCCGAATTGGCCAGTGTGAGCTGAGGATGCCAGCCTCTCGCAGGTGGGACCCGGCTTGGCAAGCTCTGAACTTTTGCGCCCCTCCCACCAGAGGCCTGGGACAGCGCGGGGCACGGCGAGGAGACAGAAGCTACCAAAGGACCCCACCATGGGATGACCCAGCGGGCCCGGACTGTGTACCTGGGACGCCTCTGGGTCTGGGTCTGGGTCTGGTTCTGGTTCTGAGGGACCTGCCGTAGGTCAACGATCAGAGTCATAAAAGGGCCACCGTCAAGGGGAGCTCATCCCCAGGCTATTCCCAAGCACGACGCTGCTCAAGGAGCCGAGAGTCGACCACAGGGGTTTTCAAAGTGGCTCCTGGAGGGAGCGGAAGGGACCGGAAAACTGTCACCACGGTCATCAGAGAAGAAAGCTGTGCACACACGCTGTCTTCTGTTTGAAACCTTACAGACGCAGGTCGGGTAAAGCAGATGCGATGTCAACCTGTTGACCTCGGCTCTGCCGGGGGCAGAGTCACAGGGACCTCCGTGTCCTTGCTCTCGGTTTACAAATGTCCCCAGTATTTACAGTGAGACGCGGTGCCCACCATCCCCTCAGCCGGACCCCGGCAGGCGGGCTCTGGGCTGGCACCTCGTGCGAGGCCCCTGCTCACGCACCAGCCACCCCCGGGCCAAGGGCGGAGGGAAGACACTCAGACAGGTCCAAGGTCACACTCAAAGGGGTCACGCTAGAAGGGAGCTCTGCCTCCAGGCCCCTCTCCTTCTTAACCACCACACCGAACGTTCGTTCATAAAGTAATAAAACACTTTTTGACAAAACCAGGAGGTCAGTTCCAGAGGAGACAGTGAGAAGCTGCCCCATCGGTGTCCTGTGCCTGGACCCGGGCACCCCATGACACGCTCACCTTGTGTCTGGCCTCTGTTACCCTAGGGAGGGGGGGGGGTCATCCCGGAGTCTGGCCCCGCTTCCCCTCGGCCCGAGACCTGACCCAGCCCGGCTCCCCAGCCCTGCTGGCCAAAGTGCAGCCAGACGGCCATGGGCCAGACCTAGGGAGGCAGCCAGGGCTGAGAAGGGCCGGCCCCCGGGGCGGGAGACGGCTGAAGTACACTGGCCAAGAACAAGCCCCAGGTGCCTCGTTGGAGCTGCCTGGGCTGGGAAGGGAAGTGCTCCCACCTGGTGCTCTCCCCCACTCCCCCACCCCAGCCACACGCGGGCCGAGCGGACACCAAGCCTCTCAACTCCCCTTCACACCTCCACGAGCCAGAACCCAATCCCAGACGGGGCTGGACGCTGCATGGACCCCATGGGGGCCCACAGCCCAGCTGCCGTCGAGGCCCGCTGGATGCCTGCCGGGGCCTGGGTCGAGCTGTGCCGCTTTCTCAAAGCACCCACCCTCTCTGGTCCTGGCAAGCGGCTCTGCACAAAGGAGGCAGGAAGCAAGCTAGACAGAGTAGACAGAGACCCCTCCCCCCCCAGCTTCCTGTCCCTCAGCTCCGCCTCCGGGGAGTGAAGGTCAGTGCTCCCCTGCTCTGCACACGCGCCTTTGTCCCCATCCTCTCTCTGGCGGCCTCCTCAGAACCCAGTGCTAACAGGACCCAGGTTGGGCCCCGAACTCCAGCCCCTCTGCAGGCCAGGATCCCACTCTTCCACGACCCGGACGAACATGGAGGCAGAGGGAAGGGAGAGGTGCACCCCCCGCCCGGCTGTCCATCCACCCCCAGCCCACCCCCCAGCCCCCGCCTGACGGCCCTGTCCGTTTCGTGGACGCGTATCTGTGTGCTTTAATGCTTCACTAGCTGAGGGCCGGGGGCGCTCTGCCCAACCTCTCTGAGCTCAGTTCCCTACATCATGAACTGCCGTAGGGCCTGGGCCAGCGCACCTGGCCGTGACCCTGAGCGCCACGCGGGATAATCCCAGACTAGCTGTTCTCCCTGGGCGATTCTGCCCCCTGGGGACACCGGGTCGCGTCTGGACACATTTGTGGTGGTCACTGCCGGGGGCGCTCCTGTCATCGAGTGGGTGGAGGCCAGGGGTGCCCCTCAGGCCAGCCTCTGGCCTCCCGAACGTCCACAGTGCTGAGGCTGAGGAGCCTCGGAATGGAACCTTTGGGTACTTGTGAGCGTTAAGTGGGACACGCGCACGCCATGTGCTCAGAACGGGGCCTGGTGCCCAGCAAGCCCCCGGCAAATAGTGGCCGAGGCTCCCTTTACTGCCTGCTCCTTCCCTTGGCCTCGGGGAGTCAGAACGGAGACCAGGATGCTTCATTTCCAACAAGGACGCTGAGGCGCCGGGAAGGGACTTGCTGGCCCAGAGCTGGACCCGGCCCTGGTCCCCCCTGCCCACCGCCCCCACCCGCTGTGGTCTCCAAAGAAACCTCCTGCCAGAGCCGGGTCCCATAGAGCCCCGACGCCGGCCGCAGTGCCGGGAGCCTCGGGTCCCGGGACTCGCACTTTCTAGAACTGGGGAGCAGCTCGAGAGGAGCACCCACACACATCCACAACGCTACGTGGGCGCGGGGTGGGGGGTGGAGAACGCCAGGGAAGGCCAAGTGCCTCCCCAAAGGCCACGGAGCCCAGCCACGGTAGCAAACCGCTCTGCTGTCCCTAGTCCTGTCGTTTCCAATGCGGTGGAGGAAGTACGTGCCACCCTGACCCGAGAGGACACGAGGCCCCGTGCCTCTGACGAGGGGACGCTGAGGGCGGCTGTGTGGGTGTCAAGGCTGTCTTTCCTGGTGGAAGCTTGGGGGTGAGCCCCCCAGCATGTGCGGGGCACTGGGCAGAGCACCAGTGAGGCCTGACTTGGACCCATCACCCCTCTGGAGTCCGAACAGCCTGTGGGCAGGACCATCTAAGTCCCCACGGCGAAGGGGGGCACAGAGGCTCCCAAGCCCGAGCCCCAGGCACCCTGCCGCCACCCACAACCCAGGAGAGGCCGCCCGTTGGTACCTACCAGGTGCCCGGAGGCTCTCACCAGCTTGTGGGTAGAGAAAGGAAAAGCCTCGTCGCTCAGGTCTGCGTCCAGCACCTCCTGGAGAATGGCCCGGCTGTGGGCAAGAACAAAGTCGGCTGGTCAGTCAACAAACTCTTGCTGAGCACTCGTGGGCGCGGGCTCTGGGCCAGGAAGGCACTGGGGACAGAGCAGCGAGCAGGACGAGTCCCCGTCGCCGTGGCTCAGATGGACAACAGACAGGTATTGGTAACAGCACACCAAGAGAAGCACCTGCCAAAAATCCAGTCCGCAAGAAAGCCCGTTCAGCGGGAACGATGATGGGCGGTGAGCCCAGCCTGGGTAGAGACCAGACTCACCCGAGCTCCTGGGGCACTGGCCTGACCATCTAACACCCCCAAGTGCCCCCCAAGTCCCAGGGCAGGAGCCTAGTTTGCGAGTCCCCTGAGGGCAGGGCTGCCCTTGTCACCTCCCGCACCCCAGCATCGGCACCCGGGAGTCCGGCTCTCGTGCTTGATGGGTTACCTGAGAGCTCGCTGGGCCCAAAGCTCTCACTACCCATGGAAACCTTCACTTCTTGGGCCCCTAGCCCCCTTGTCTCCGTTCACTCCTTCCTGCGCTCCTCGGCACTGCCACCCGGGTGCCCTGCCCCTGGTTAAGCCTTTGTCACCCTCCAGGTCTTGGCTTGGCTGCCACCTCCTCCAGGAAGCCCTCCCCGACTCCCTGAATCTGAGGCTCTGATACATCGGACAGGGCACCTCTCACATGGCTTGTCCTTGCTCCTGTCCCAACGTGCCCGGCACAGAGGGCACACGGTAAACGGAACTGAATGACAACAGCCTGGCTCTGCACCCCAGGGTGGGCTCCCCGTTGGCAGGAGACAGCTCCCCGTGGGGGTACCAGCGGGTGCTGGGGCTGCTGGGTACCGCTGCTCAGAATGCTTGCGGCCCACCCTAATTCCCACCCCCACGGTGCTGGAGCTGCCCACCCACACCGGCCCGAGATGCCTAGCACGCTGCAGGCTGCGAGTGCCTTATGTAACACACACCCCCGGCCCCCACGTGCTGCCAGCCCCCAGAGAGCCCACCTCCGGTCCTCGAGGAGCACGGCCCCTCCGTAGCTCTGGGGGGTGGCCGGCGTCTTCCCTGCCTGCTTCCCGGCAGGGGCGGGAGCCTGGAGCTGCCGCCTGGGCCAGGCCGAGGGTCTGTAGGGGGTCAGCAGAGCTCCGGGTAGCCCTGGGCACCAATCTACCTAACGTGGGCGGGGGCGCAGGAGGCTGTCCCTCCATGAGAGGGACAGCAGGTGACGCTGGAGGGCACGGGCCAGAGACGCAGGTTCAAGTCCCGGCTCCCCTGCTCACCCCTGGCCTCCCCCCCACCCCCGCCTCCCCATCCTCTGCAGGGGGTAGGGGGCAGTGATGCCACCTCCCAGGACCCCGGCGGGGAATCGGCGAGAAAGCACCTGCCGAGCATCTGGGCGTTGATGACCGTGATAGCGAGCACCCACTAGCCGCCTGTGGCCGCTTGGGTTTCAGTTCATGACGATGAAATATTCGGTCTCTCCAGACACCTTTCAGGGGCTCAATGGCCACCTACAGCTTAGCGGCTGCTGTACCGGGCCCACCCAATTGCGGAACGCTTCCAGAGAGTTCTACCGGACAGCTGGAAACTTAGCACCGCCCACGGTCCGGGTGCCGGGCTAAATTGCTTCCCACCTGACAATTCAGAAGGTCCAGCAACCCCCTCCCCCCACATGGTGGTGGTGCCAGTGAGACTGTTACTCTACAGGAATGTGGGGCTATTCTTGAAGGAGAAGACACATAGGAGCAGTAAGTAAAGAAATTTCCAGGGGGGGGGGGTGAGGTGGCCGTCACCACCACCCTCCTGGAGCGGCTTCTAATGAGGCAGAGGAGGCTGGCCTGTCCCCTGGGGGCGCTGCCTTGATCTGAGTGCCCGCACCCTCCCTCCCCTGCCCACCAGCCTCCCCCCGCAGTAGAAAAAGCTCACGCCCCACCGTGGGTGCTGTGGCAAGGGGGCAGAGGCTGCCGAGGGCCAGCCAGGACCCCCGGCCCCGTTGGGCCCACAGACGGGGAGCTGGCCGGCCCTGGGGAGACACGGAAACCACCCTCAACTCCACCGGAAGCCCCAAACATAATGCTCCGCTTTGGAGCTTCATCCCACTTGGCCCCACTGGCCACCTGGACGTGGCTCATCGCTCCCTCCTGGAAATCCCGGCTTCTCCGGCCTCCGAGGCTCCTCACACACCTGCTGGCCTCCTAGCCCGGCCCAGCATCAGAGACCCTGTGAAAGCCCAAGTCTGACCATGTCTCTGCTCTGCTCAGTCCCCCTCACTCACAGCCCCCTGGACCCGTAGGCTCTCGCCTCCTCTGCTCCCCCAGCACATCTCCAGCTGCCCTGCTCCAGCCGGCCTCCCTGTTTTCCTTCAGCCACACAGGCACATCCCAGCCACCGGGCCTTTGCACCTGCTGTGTCCTCTGCCTGGAACACCATCCGTCCAGAGAGCTCCAAAGCTCAATCCCTCATTTCTTCCAGGGCTTTGCCCAAACGTCCCCTTAGTGGATGTTGGTTTTCATGGGCAGCCTGAGGGCAAACGCTTGACAGATGCCGATCCATGTTAATGTATACGATGTTCTCAGGTTCCATTCATTCGTTCGCCAAGCACGTACCTGCCGTGTGCCCCTGAGCAACGCCCACACAGAACCAGCTACAACACAGCCTGGGAGGGGGGCCGGCCAGTCCAGGACCCAGCCGGGGAGCCTCAGGCTGGATCAGCTCCAAGGCCCCAGGGAAAATGACCCTGCGGCCGGTCTGAGCACGCCAGCCGGGGATCCCGGAGGGACTCCTGGCTGACAGGGACGTCACCTGGACACAGCGTGCTTTGTCAGAGCACGCAGCCTGGTGATATCTGGCTGCAGGCACATCCCCCCCTCCCCTCCCCCTCCCTCCCTCTGCCTCCAGCCCTTCCCATCATTTTCCAGGAACGCATCCTTCCTTGAACACAGGGGCCCCCAGAAGCAGGGGCCCTCCTCTCCCACTTCTCCTCTCCGGTCCGGCAGGGTCCACCACCCGCGAGGAGTCTCCCCACCACTGACGCGTGCCTGGGCTCCGGGGTCAGTGATGGAGCACCCACAGCAGGTGCGTCGCCACCAAGAGGGCGTGTAACTCCCCGGGAAGGGCAGTTGTGGGCACGCGGCTGTCTGAGAGTTCGGGGGGGGGGGGAGTCCGTGCCCACCCGCCCTGGCACTGGTGAGCTGCGCGACCCTGGGCAAACGTCTCCCCCTCTGTGTGCCTCTGTCTCCTCCCCCTCAGGGAATAAGAACAATTAGGACCGCCTCGAAGGGCTATTATCAGGATTTTCGGGAGACGCTGGCACAGGGTTTGGCAAATCACAGGTGCCCAGCTGGTGGCTGTTACCACGATTATCCTTCCCCACTGGTCCCCCACCCCCGAGTCCCTTCCCGGAGCCCTGCTCGAGAGACCTTTCCAAGCACGCGACTGCCCAGGTGCCCCTTTGCCTAGCCCCCACCCCCCCCACCACCGTGGCTCCCTGCACAGGCCAGTGTCTGAGGGTTTGCAGGCTCTGACTCCTCATGGGTGGGAGTGTAGCTCAGCAAATATTTACAGAACGGACACATGACCGACTCATCCACCCGGAGGTGTTCGGGGTGGGGGGCGCGGGCCTCTCGGTGTTCGGTATTATTCTCAGCCCCGGTGTCAGGTAGAACCCCGGCCCGGCCGTGCCCACTTGGACGTGGCATCAGCAACTGCTAGACCGTCAGTGACCCGGAGACCCCCCCACCCCCACCCCGCCGACACACACAGGCCCTTCTGTGACCCCTGAACCCTCAGGCGCAGATTCCTGTCCGGCTGGGTCTGGCGCTCCCACTGAGGGCTCGTCTGTATTCCGGGGCTTTGAAGGTGAGTTATCTGGCGTGGCGTCTCTGGGTTCACGAGAGCCTTTAGCTACCCGGAACGTCCCATTCTGGACCAGCAGGACCAGCGGCTGCTTCTGCCCACGGGTGCCAGCTGGAGGGACCCGGGTGTGGGTCCCAGGGGTTGGGCACCCGGCTGCTTGGCTCCCGGTCCCGTCCTCACCTGGCCGGGCCCTGGATGCTGATCAGACCCAGGTCCTCGGAGCTGTCGATGAGCTGGCACCGGAACTTCTGATCCTGCAGCACCGTGCTGATGTGAGACCAGTTGTGCTGGGCCACGGCCCCGCCCACGGCCAGGTAGTAGCCGTCCCCTGGAAGAGAGGCGGCGAGGACTAGCCAGAGGAAGCACCTGCTCTTTCCCAGAAAGTGAAAAACACAAGCCAGAGGGCAGTGACCCTCCCCAGGGGCACCGGCTGCTCTCCGGGGGCAGGGAGTGGGGGCCGGGGTGGGGGACCCCTGGGGGCTGCACACGCCAAGGGAGCACTGTTCTGGGAGAGTCTGAGGCTTTCACCCACTTCTCAAAGGCCTCCTGACCAGGAGAGGGGGACAGCTCCCACCCGGTCGAGGCCCGAGGCTCCGTGTGTCATCAGTGCTGGGCAGCCTTGGACAGATCTCTTCCTCTCTGGCTCTGCTCTCACTCCGTATGCCCCTGGCCCCCCGGTCTCTGGATCCTCCTTTGGCCATATCAGGACTTGCTGGGGCCAGGTACCGGGCCAGGCTTTGCCAGTAATACTCCCTTGATTTCCCCCATCCCCACAGGAGGCTGATTCTCATCACCACCCCAGGGTTTCACAAAAGGAGACTGAGGTTCAGAGAGGTCACGTGGTAGAAAATCAGACTCTGTCCAGCTCTGAGTCATGGCCTGGGCCACACTGCCACCCAGGTTTGGGTGAACGGAGGGCAGCCCGCCTCGGCCCAGCGTCCGGGGAGAGTCACTGCCCTGGGGAGCTGGGACAGCTGTGTGGCCTTGGACCCATCACACAGCCTCCCTGAGCCCCTGTGCTCTCATCTGTCATGGAGAGTCTATGTAACTCCTCTGCAGGGGTACTGTGAGAACCAGCCACTGCCTGTGCCTGGGGTGGGCGGGCTCCCACCGGTCATTTGCCCATGATCTCTGGAGGAACCGGAGGGGGTTGGGGGGGGTGGGGAGGGAGGCGGGAGGCCTCCTTCTTCTCAGCTTTCCCTGGACCTTCCCTCGCATCCCCCCCCCTCTCCTTCCTTATTAATTCTCACAGGGCTCCCCCACCCCAGAGCAGAGGTCCCCAGGCGATCCTTGACCCCTCAGCCGCTTCTCTGTCTGTACGGTGGGAATATGGGACTGGAAATGCCCTCACAGGCCAGGTTCGCACAGCTGCTGTGGGCAGGGCCCCAGGGAGGGGCGCAGAAGGGTCTAGAAGGCCTCCTCCCGTCGGGGTCCCCTGGCAGCCGCCTCTGTCAGCCTGGGCATCACTGCCGCGGGCTGGGCGTAGTGTGTGGGCATGGGTGGAGATGGGCAGGGGGCTCCCTGCTGCAGAACCCTCCTGGGTGCCTCCCGCTGGTGCGTCCCCGCCCGGCCCCCCCCCCCCCCCCCCACCCAGCAGCTGTGGTAATAGACGCAGCCACCCACCGTGATCGAAAAGCAGTCCCTCCTCACTCTACCCTTCCTTGGCAGAGGAGGGCCTGGCTGGTGGCAGAGGGCTCAGGGTAAAGGGCACCAGGCTCTCTCCGTCTCCAGGAGCAGCTGCTGGGCTGCCTCCTCCCACCCTTGTCCAGGCGACCCCTGGGACGTTCCCCACCTTGTCACCCCACATGCTGTGTGCTCCCCTAGGTCCCACGCAGAGGCCTTAGCCTCCGGGAAGCCCTTCCTGAATATACCAGGGCAAGTGGCCAGTGGCCCCGCCGTCTCCTCCACCCACCCCCACATCCCGAAGCAGCCTCCAAGCCCCTCCTCTCAGCGCCCGGGGCAGCAGCACCTCTGGGCTGGATGGCCGGACCTATCCCCTCCTGGCCCCAGCCTCCAATCCCACCCCCAGTCCTGCTCACCACATCTCGATCGCCCTTGCTCCCACGGCCCTCAGGAGGGTCCAAAAGCGCCCCCCCCCCCACCGCCCGTCAGAGCCTGCCGCCCACAAGGCACGTGGCTCTGATGCACTTGGCTCTGCTCTCGGGCAGGGGTCCGTCCTCACCCAGGCCCTCCACTCACCACTGCCTCGCCAGGCCTGAGCCCCTCCTCCTCACCTTCCGGGACCCAGCTCAAACATCCCCTCCTCTGGGAAGCCCGCTCACCCACTCCACCCTGCAGAGCACTGACACGACCTCACCGCAGCGGCCTGCCCCCTTGCCCATGCCTGGGGACCAGGGCCGTCCCACGTCCACAACCTCCCTACAGCCAGGACCGTACCCTGCACCCACCTTTGGATCCTTTGGGCCATGGGGCTGGGGAAAACAGGCTATCCCCCAAATCCCTGTGGGGATACTCTGCAGGGATACTACCCCTCCCCACCCCGGAGGATACCGTCTGGGAATCACATAGGCCTTGGCATCAGACCGGCCTGGCCAAGAGGTGGCTCTGTGGCTCGATGCCCTCACTTCTTACTTCTCTGGGCCTCCATTTTCTCATCTCTAAGATGGGCTGAACCACACCTGCCCCCATAGGACCGTTAACAGCATCCACTGGGTTAAAACGTCTACCAGAGCACTGGTCAGGTATGATCAAGTCTCCTTTCTTCCTCTTTCGTCTTAAACCGATGAGCACAAAGGGAGACGGAAGCCAAAAAGACAAGTCGGCCCCCAAAAGGGCCCTCCCGGCCCCTGGGCCGGGGACTTTTACAGGCCGCGTCCTCCGCGTAGCCCCAGGGGTCCGAAGCCACCCAAGGCCCCTCCTCAAGGGACGGGGGTTACGGGGGCCGCCTGGTGCCAGGGCAGCTGCCGGGCCCGGCGTTCTCCGGACAGCTGTCCTCATCAAAGACCCAAAGTGCCGGGTCCTGAGGCCGCAGCTCCAGGCCCAGCCTGCAAGTGGCCGTGGCAGAGAGGGCGGTCAGTGGGCAGAGTCCAGGGGCTCGGGCTCCAGCCGGGGAGCTGGGGGCTGCGGGGTTGATCTTGTACCTTCCTGTATCGTCAGCACGTCTCCTACAAGCGCGTCTTCCTTTTGGGATGGAGAAGACGGTTCAAGATCACGTTTGGCATCGACAGCTGCTTTGCACACAGCCTCGCTCGCGTGCAAATCACCACATCCTCTTGCCGTCGTGGTGACCTGACGCAACGGGTATAATTAACCCGCGTCTAAAACATGCATATTTAACAGGCATGCATATTCATGGCAGGAACAGTACAGTTTTTAAGGCCGAAAATAAAACGCGGTCCACATGCCGCCGGTCTTCTCGTGTTTGGCCGTGTCCCCGGGCCCGGCAGCACGTTCCAGAGCCTCCCGGGATGTGACTCAGGCGTCGCGGCGCCTCCCTCACCACGCGCCACGCGCACTTCCGCTGGCAGGCCGAGCAAGAGCCCGTCCCCCGCGCCCAGGCAGCCACGCGGTTGGACCGGGAGGCGCAGAATCTGGGAAAAACGCCTCCCGAATCATTAGCACCTTTCCCTTGCCTCTGCTCCACGGCCTGTTCTGGCCCCCGCCCTGGCAAGGCGGGCGCTCCTCGAACCGTCAGGGCCCGGGATCCCCCGGCACCTTCCGGAAGGTCCCCGTTCTCCAGGTGGGGAAAGTGAGGCTCAGGGCTGTGGGCCGCAGAGCCAGGCAGTGGCAGGACCTGGCCCAGGACTTAGATGACCTGTGCCCTCACCGGGGTCCCTCTGTCCCTCCTCCCCAGCTACACCAGCCCTTCTCCAAATGGCCCCTGCTCCTCTGCAGCCAGCTCCTTACAGGCACCTTTCCAGCCGGCAGCTCCTATTCACCCACCGGGGCTCAGGCCAGAACACCACCTCCTCCAGGAAGCCTTCCTCACCCTGGCTCAGCTACTTCCATAGCCTCCATAGTCCTGCTCTTTTCCGTCCCCTTGCTTTTCCACTCGGTGCTCGAATGGTCTCCTCCCGGCCCTGTCTGTCCCTACCGTGAGATCTTGGAGGTCCGCCCAGCCTCCTTCACCTCCTGTGACCGCTGGCTGCCCGCATCTGTCTTACCGTAAAGGCTCTTTGTGAGCGCTGGGAGAAGGAAGGGGCGGACAAGTTCATTCACACAGCACAGGCGCTCTGCACCACCAGTGGCAGGAGGGAAGGGCCCCCCAAGCCCCAGCTGCCGCCAGTAAGACCGCTCACCCGTGCCCACAGCCTCCAGTCGGCCGGTGCTGCCCCGTGACGCTGTTTTCAGCAGTCAGAGACTCAGGAATCCCACCCACCCTCGGCCCCCAAATCCACCCCAAAGGAGTCTGTGGCCGGCAAAGCAACCTTGTCCCATCGCCCCTGCACCCCCACCCAGAGATATAAACTCCACGGGCCAGAACCTCCTGGGTGCCTCAAACAGCCTGGGATGCGACAAGTGCTCAGCAGGTGCTGAATGCACCTGCCTGGCTAATGCGCCCTCCTTCTCGCTCACCTCCCCCTCCCCCAGTGCCCTGGGAGCTCGCCCGCCAACCCCTGGGGACCCTCACCGAGTCTGGGCAGCGTGGAGCCAGGCCCCTGGAGGCGGGGACTGCCAGCTTCTCTGAATGGGCTGAGTTCTTGTGCTGACGGACCCTCCCCCTGGAGGGTCTCTCAGAGAGACACCCTCTCCTCTGCAAATCCAGTCTCTCAGAGCGGCACCGGGGCCTCCCTGGAGAAGGAAGGTGCTTCCCACTCTGAGGATCTCAGCCGTCTCTCTTCTCCCTAGCAGGGACGGCTACGGGACTAGAGATGACCTTGCTCCGTGTGAACCAAGGGGTAGGGTCGGGGAGGTGAAGGGACAGGCAGCACATCTGGCTCAACGTGGCTGTCAGGGCTGTGCAAACAAGCATTACAGGTAGTGAGCTACCTGTCACTGGAGGCATGCAAGCAAAGGCGAAGGGGCTGCAGAGGGCAACCCAGGAACAGCTTGAGCACTGAACTGCACACCTTCTAAGGACCTGCCCTGCCTGAGACGGGATTCAGCAGAGATCAAAGTCGGTTCGGCATAGATGTCGGTGGCAGAAAGGAGCTAGTACGTCCAAGTGGGAAGCACGGCCTCCTCCGTGGCTCCCTCTGTTCTGGGCAGGCACGCTGAGTATGCCCACGCCCTCGCTGTTCTGAAACTCCGCGGTACGGACAGGTTCAAAGACATAATCACGGAGTACTCAGAGCCCGCATCACTGCCTGAACAAAGCCGACCGCCAGCCTGAAGTGACACCTCTAATCTCCGAAGCCCTGACCGCTGCGGGCACCACAGGTAATTACAGAGCGGCCCTCGGCAGCCCGTCCCCGGCCACCGCCGGTCACCGGAACAAGGGCTGCAGTGACAACATCGCTCAGCCCGTGGGGCATCTCCTACCTTCAAAGGCGGGGGCCAGGGCGGAGGCCTGGGGGCCGGGGGCCAGGCGGCTGACAGTCAGGTCGCTTTCGGTGCCGCCCCTGTGGTTCAGCATGCAGGTATACACGGTCGAGCCTGGGGGCAAGAGAAAGACCCGGAGTGTGGGAGCCGCTCGGCACAGCCCGGCACACACAAGTCTGGGTAACTGCTCGACGGGATGCCCTAGCGCAGGTGACCTCAAAAGGCGACGTCACCACGACCGGGCGGCCCAGAGCGGGAGGGGCAGGTCACCCAGCACTGCTGTTCCCGGAGGAGGAAGGGTCAAGAGTGGGGCTTCGGGGCGTCTGGGTGGCTCAGTCGGTCGAGCATCCGACTTCGGCTCAGGTCATGATCTTGTGGTCCGAGAGTTCGAGCCCCTCGTCGGGCTCTGTGCTGTCAGCTCAGAGCCTGGAGCTCCTTCGGATTCTGTGTCTCCCTCTCTCTGCCCCTCCCCCACTCATGCTCTGTCTCTCTCAACAATGAATAAAAATATTAAAAAAAAAAAAAAAAAAAAAGAGTGGGGCTTCTTTCTTCTTGAAACACCTTGGCCCGGGACGTGGATGGCCCCCATCCCAGCCTCCCACCCACCCCCCACATGCCAGAAAGTTCTTAGGAGCAGGGTTCTTGTCTCGCTCACTCTGGTGCGCCCGTGCCTGCTGAGCAGAGGCTCCTGATGTCTGTCCGCATAAACGACTATGTGGATGGATGGATGAAAGCAGGTCAACGGGAAGGTGGATGGAGGGGTGCTGGGGCGGGGTTGGGGGGAAGGGGGGTGTGGGGAACGGGGGGTTTAAGAGGAGCAGGTGGGGCGAGTGCTGGAAAAATGGTGTCACGGGTTGAACTGTGTCCCTGAAATGACATGTTGACGTCCCAACCCCGAGTACCTGTGAACGTGAGCTTATTTGGAAACAGGGCTTTGCTATGTGATCACGTTAGGATGGCCCTTATGGCGGGCTCTAATCCGGGATGCTGGTGTCCTTATGAGGAGAAGCAAACGCAGGGATGTGTGATGTCAAGGCAGGGGCGAGATTGGTGCCCACCCCCACCCCCTGGAGCCAGAGAGGCAGGAAGTGTCCCACCTCCGGTCTCAGAGACGGCACAGCCTTGCTACCTTCTTGAGTGTGCACTTGTAGCCTCTGGAAGGATCAGACAACATGTTTCCACTGTTTAGAACCAGCCCGTTTATGGTGTTTTGTTACAGCAGCCCCAGGGAGCTAACACAGACAGGTGGGGGAGGGTAACGTAAAAGGAGATGAACATCCCAAATATTACATGGGACACACTTAAGAGGAAAACATCGTCCATTCTTGAGACTCAAACCTATCTGACCTTCCTGTATTTTTATTTAATTCTGGAAACCCTCTTTGGGGAGAGTGTTCCTGTGGGGAGTGCCCAAAGGGGCTCCACATTTACAGAGAGCCTCCTGCCTTGTATCCTTTCTGGAACAAAGGAAATGGAGAAGGGAGGGAGGGAGGAGGGAAAGGAAGGGCAGGGGGAGGGACAGTGGAAGGTGCTGGGGGCCTAGGGCCTGGGGTATGGCAACAAGGCGCAGGGGCCCAGGGCCAGCCAGGGGGCAGAGCCCTGAGCTGGAGAAGCCTAGAGGGGATAGAGCCAGCTTGCCGCCTGGTCTCAGCACCGAGGGCTGTGCCCAGGGAGTTCTTCCTGGCACCAAAGTGGGAGAGGGGCATGGCCCTCTGGAGGTCGTACCTGGGGGTCGGCTGACATCAGCAGAGAAGAGCCAGTCGGCAGCCTTCCTCGCATCCAAACCCACCAGGTAGAACTTTCCGAAGTAGGACATGTTGAACACAGCAGCGGCCCCTCTGCAGGCCAGACATTCCTTCTTGATCTGAAAAGTTCCAGGAAGGAAGGACGCCATGAGGGCTCTGAGCTATGCCTCCTCAGAGCACGGCGTGCTGGGCTCTCCCTGGTACACCTGCTCTGAGACTCCCTCCGCACTCCCAGCTGGGAACACAACAAGACCACTCTTCAGCAGCACAGGGAATTATACCCCACAAAAGAAGACAACAGATTCAACAGCATGTTCTTGGACCACAATGGAATTACATTAGAATCACAGCAGGAGGAAACTTGGGGAGTTTGCATATAAGTGACATTGAACAACACATCCCTGAAGAACCAAAGAACCAAAGAAAACACTTGTGGGGGGAGGGTTGGGGAATACTTTGAGAAGGAGGGAAGGAAGGCAGGGCCTGGCTCACAGAGACCTTACACCTGCAAATGCCTCCAAAGTTCTCAATCCATGCCTCAGCTTAAGCAAGCAGAAGGAAAGGCTTAATAAAGACTAGAATAGGATATAGAGGAAATGGAGAATAGAGAAATGGAGAAAATCGGCAAAAACAAAGCTGGTTCTTTGGAATGATCGACAAAAGTAGCAGACTCACAAAGAAAATAAGACAGGAGACTCAAAGTACTAAAATCGGGAAGGAAAGAGGGGACATCACTACCGACCTTACAGCAGTAAAAGGATTGTAAGGGAAAACCATGCATAACCGCATGCCAGCATGTGACATGTGAAACGGACACATTCCTAGAAAGACACAAGTTATTAAATTTTTTTTTTCAACATTTATTTATTTTGGGGACAGAGAGAGACAGAGCGTGAACGGGGGAGGGGCAGAGAGAGAGGGAGACACAGAATCGGAAACAGGCTCCAGGCTCTGAGCCATCAGCCCAGAGCCCGACGCGGGGCTCGAACTCACGGACCGCGAGATCGTGACCTGGCTGAAGTCGGACGCTCAACCGACTGCGCCACCCAGGCACCCCGACACAAGTTATTAAAACTGACTGAAGAAGAAGGGTTCCCCGGGTGGCTCGGGTGGTTGAGTGTACGACTTCGGCTCAGGTCATGATCTCACGGTCCATGAGTTTGAGCCCCGCGTCGGTCTCTGTGCTGACAGCTCGAGCCTGGAGCCTCCTTTGGATTCTGTGTCTCCTTCTCTCTCTGCCCCTCCCCTGCTCCTGCTTTGTCTTTCTCTGTCTCTCAAAAAAAAAAAAAAAAAAAGAAATTAAGAAAATAATTCCACCTACATCATCAGAAAGAATTTTAAAATACCCACAAATTCAACAAACGAAGTGCAAAACTTGTACTCTGAAAACTCAGCAATATTTTTGAAAGAAATTAAAGGAGGCCTGAACGAGTGGAAAGACATCCCATGCTTACAAAATGAAGACTTGATATTGCTAAGATGATGTGCTCTCCAAACAGATCCAGATTCAACACGATCGCCGTTAAAATTGCAGCGGGCTTCTTGGCAGAAATTGACAAACTGATCCTAAAATTCATATGGAAATGCAAGGGACCCAGAATAGTTAAAACCATCTTGAAAAAGAAGGACCAAGCTGGGAGACTCACGCTTCCTGATTTCAAAACTCACTACAAAACCATTGTAATCAAGACACTAACACAAGGATATGCATATAGATCACTGGAATGGGGTTGAGAGTCCAGAAATAAACCCGCATGTTTATGGTCACTGCTTTTCCACAAGGATGCCAAGGCCACGTGAGGAGGAAGCCACGGTCGTCAACACGTGGTGCCCGTGCAGCTGGCCACACGCAGAGAAGGAGGCTGGGCCCCTACCTCACACCATACACGAACCATAGTCAAAGTGGGTCCTAGACCTAAGAGTAAGAGCTAAACTATACGATTCTTAGAAGAAAACATGGGAGTAAGTCTTTGTGGCCTTGGGTTAGGAAATGCCTTCTGAAATATGACCCCAGAAGCACAAGCAACAAAAGAAACAATCCGTAAGTTGGATTTCACCAAAATCAAGCCCTTTTGTGCTGCCAACAACACCATCAAGAAAGGGAAAAGACAACCCACAGAATGGGAGGAAGTATCTGGAAGGCATAAATCTGATAAGAGACTTGTACCCAGCATATAACAAGAACTCTTATAACTCAATACAAAGACCAGTAACCCACTTTAAATGAGCAAGGTGTCTGAATAGACATTTCTCCAAAGAAGATGCACGAATGGCCAGTAAGCACATGGGAAGACGCTCACCATCATTTAGCCAGTAGGGAAATGCAGCTCGAAACCCCAGTGAGATCCCACCTCACACCCACTAGGATGGCTGGGATCAAAGAGAGAGAATCACCAGTGGTGGCGAGGACTTGGAGAAGTCACAACCCTCACCCACTGTGCGTGGGAACGTAAAACAGTGCAGCCACTTTGGAAAACAGTCAGCTGATCCTCAAAATGTTAAGCATCGAGGTCCCACATGACCCAGCAACGCACCTGCTAGATATCTACCCAAGAGAAATGAAAACCTACGTGCACACAGAAACCCGTCCGGACATGATCGCAGCGAAGTTATTCCTAACAAGCAAAAAGCGGGGCCAGCTCGAATGTCCGGACACACTGCAGAGCATCCACGTAACTGAAAACTGCTCAGAAAAAGAAGTGACGAAGCCCGGACACGCCCCGAAACGTGGATGGACCTTGAAACTACGGTGCCGAGCGCAAGAAGCCAGTCACGGAAGACCACACGTTGTAGGACTCCATTGATACGAAACGTCCCAGCAGGTAAAGCTCCAGGGACAGAAGGAGCTTCAGTGGCTGCCTGAGGGGAGGATGGGGTGGGAGAGGGTGGGGGGTGGGGGTGACAGGTGGCAGGTCAGGGTTTCTCCTGGGGGTGGACAAAACGTTCTAACATCACATCGTGGTGACGGCTGCACGCGCCCAGGGGGACACTAAAAAACACCGCCGAATTGTGGCTCAGTCCATCAAGTGCCCGACTTCCGCTCAGGTTGCAATCTCACAGCTCGTGAGTTTGAGCCCCACGTCGGGCTCTGTGCTGACAGCTCTGAGCCCAGATCCTACTTCTGATTCTGTCTCTCTCTCTCTCAAAAATAAACATTAAAAAAATTTTTAAAAAGCACCCAATTATACACTTTAAGTGGATGCATTGTGTGGTACGTGAATTCTATCTCAGTAAAGCTGTATTTTTTTTTTTTTTTTTTTTTTTTTTTACACAAAGAACACAGCATGCCTGCTGGCCGGTAAACAGATGCCCCTGCCAGGCCCTCCAGGTCCCAAATTATCCATCCGTTTTTCTCCTCCGTCTTCTGTCCCCGAGCCACTGCGTCTTTGTTCTACACACATCACCCAGCCGCTGAGGGGAGGCCCCACCTTTGCTGCTCATTGAAGGAAAAATTGTGGCAGCAAAGCTACCCCTCGCCGAGCACTGGCTGTGCGTCGGGGACCTGTGTCACCTCCTCCACCCCGAGGTTCCAACACCACTTCCCACGAGGACGCTGCCCTCTGCGGCCCGGGGAGGGGACGCACGGTCTGTTGGGGGCCAGGCGGCTAGAAGATGGCGGAGCCGTGCATCCGGCCCGTGCTGTCGCAGTGCCCCAACCCCCCCACCCCCAGCTCCGCGTGGGTGTATCGGTGTGAGCGGTGAGAGCGTTTACACCGGGGAAACCGGCCAAGGCCCCAGTCGGGCTTCCCCGGGGGAGCTGGCACCCCGCCGGAGCCCCAGATGCCGCGACCCCACCGCCCTGCAGACACCGCTGTCCTCTGTGGGGCTCCCGCGACCCGTCAGGCGCTGCAGGACCTTCCCCGACACTGGGGCCGCAGAGCAAAACCCGACACGGTCTCCGGGCTGACTCTCGTCTCCCCGTCTCCCCGGGCTGGGGAGGCTGCCAATGCTGAGAACAAGCGTGTGTTTCATGCTTTGGGACTGTTCAGGCGCGTTTGCGGAGGCTGGATGAAGCCACCAAGCCAAGTTGGCATCCCCTCCGGGCTCCCACGTCCCCGAGGGCCAGACGTCCTGCAGGCCCTGGGAGCCGCGGGAGCCGAGGTGCCAGACTCGAGGCGGTGCCAGGGACCCCGGAGCCTGGGGACGCACGTGCCTCCTGCTTCCGCCGCCCAAGCCCCTCCCCCAGTGCCTTTACCACCAGAGCCAGCTTTGGGGGAAAGCACAGGAGGGAATGTTTCTTTCCCTTGGGGACCGGCTGCAGAATTTGTGAGGCCTAATGCAAAATGAAACCGCGGGCCCCGGTTCCTAAAGTCTTAAGAGTTTCAAGGTGGCGACAGCGGAGCGTTAAGCCCCACTCAGGGCCCTTCTGAGCCAGGCCCTGGGTGACCTCACAGGCCGTACACCCGGGAAGCTGGCCGGCTGCCTTTTCCCCCGAGACAGTGCTTCCCAGGCGGCCCCGGGCTGGGCACCCACATCAGGGGGCAGCTGAGGCCCCTCTCGCTCTCTTGGGGCAGCCACGAGGCCACGGCTCAGCCCCGTTCTGCTGGGTGACCCCTTTGCAAAACGGCGGGGCCGCTCAGCGTGGAGGCTGGCGTCGCTCTTTCTGCCGAAGCTGCCCTCAAGAGCACCTCTGCCCGGTGCAGACTGCGGGGCGGCAGCCCGGCCCCGGGCCTCGTCACCCCCACCCCGGCAGGAGTCGGGCCCAGGCAGCCCGGCCAGGGCTCTGACCAGCCTCATCTGCCCACTTCTGGGGCCAGAGGGGCAGCGAGCAGACCCCAGACCCCAGACCTCCTGCTCGTCCTCTGGAGGGGCCCGTCTTGGGTCTGTGTGTCCTGAATCTATTCTGCGAGAGAGCCACCGACAGCAGCCCTAAGGAAGAGCTCGGCACTCACGCCTGTCACAGGAGCCTCAGAACAGATCCAGGGCAGGAGGGAAGGAGGCCCAGAGAGGGGCGGCCCCTGGCCTGCGGCCACACAGCCAGCCCCAGCCCCCAGCGCCCGTGGCCAGGCCTCGGCACAGAGCGGGGCAGAGAGGAAGACATCACCGGCTTGCTCCTCAAAACTGAGTCAGCCGGAAACGGGGGGTGAACTGGATGCAGTCCACAGAGCCTCTGGCAAGACTCTCGGAGGGCCCCCGGGGGTCAGCCCTACCGGGAGCCCGACTTTCTCCTCCGTGAGGGGTGGGGGGGGACTCAGCCACTGACCACGTCGTGGTGGGGCGGGAAGTCGAACGTGTAGTCGTCCCCCAGCAGCCGGCCGTAGGCGTGGTCCTCGTGCATCCGGTTCCCATACGCCCCGTAGTAGTCGTACCGCAGGACCTGGGAGGAGACACGCTCGTCACTGTGCCCCTTCCTCCCTCCTCCTGGTCCTTCCTCCCCCCCCCCCCGCCCTACTCTCGCACGCGCACGATCACGCACACGTTCACAAGGGCGCACACGCGCACGCACACGGCTTGGCGGGCAGGGAGCCGGGTGGAGCAGATCTGGCCTCACCCGGCCGCCCTCGGGAGGGCTGTGCTGGGGGCACGGCCTGGGGGGCGGTGAAGGGGTTCAGGCAGCCCACAAACCCTTGCACAAATAACACGCTAACTGCCGTGGTGGTGGTGCGGCTGAGGGCCGGTGGGGAGGCTGGGCTGCATCCGTTGGGGCCCAGAAGGATGGAGAAAAAGTGGGGTGTGCTCGGGCTGGGGAGAGACGGGCGGGTCACCTGGGACCCCTGGGCCACCGTCAGGGCTTTCAACTCGAGGCTGAGGCAGCGGGATGAGACCCCGGAACCAGCTCTCAGAGGAAGAGGGTGACGGAGTTGGGGGCCGGACGGCACTGTCATGGCAGTCAGGACCGAGCCCTGCTCCGGGTGCCTCAAGCTTCTAGGCAGGGAGATCCTTTCTACAGGCGAGAAACTGAGGCAGAGAGATGAAAACTCGCCTGATGTCACAGGCCTGGCACGGGCCTTGCGGCACGTGGGCCCCAGAGGCTGGCTCCTTGACCGCCACTGGCCGTGGCCTGTCCTGCCCTCTGTCAGCGGCTCTGAGATGCCCACGTGCCACTGGGCCCTTCCCCAGCCCTGCCCCTACTGAGGGAGCCAGTCAACTGTCCCTCCCCAGCACGGCCAGGGTTGCCCAGCCTCTTTTCACAGGTGAGAGGGCACAGAGCCTGCCCATCTCCGGACCAAGGGAATGTTCCCGATCCCTGATCCAGGGTCCTCTCCTCGCCCGGGGGCCAGGGGCTTCCTGGGAGAGGCCAGCTGGGACACGGAGGGCTTTGCAGGGGGCTGTTCAAGCCCCACCTTGTCCTGGTGGCTCCAGCCTCTCAGCCTCCTGGGGCAGGCTGCTCCCCCTGGTGGTCTTAGAGAGCCCACTCTTGCCTAACGATGCCCTGGGACCCGCCTTGGGCCGTGAGTTGCTATGGAGATGGGAGGTGGTTGCCCTGGAAGGGGACTGGTAAATTACAGCAGCAGAAGAGGGGTTTTAATTTGCATAAATCCGGATCAAATTGTGTCCCCGCCCGCTCAGGGGACCCCAGCCCACGGGTTTCACAAGCAGGCTGGTTGGGTTCTTCTCTGACAACCTGGGCCCGTGGGAGGCACTGGGGGAGTTGGGGAGCCCCCAGGAGGGCACCCAGAGGCCGGAGGCTGTGAAATCCCAAGTTACAAACCAACACGGAATGCATAATTTTGTGCTAAATGCTTCTACTAACATAAAATAACAGTGGCATTTGCCAAAAATATATGAGCAAAATTATGGGAAGATGTGCTAATTTCTCCGGCGCGGCGGGGGAGTCTTGCGCGCGGCCCCCTCACTGTGGAACACCAGCTTTCCCGGGGGCCCCGGGCTTATCTGGGCCTTGGAAGGCCTGGCTGCTGTGGGCGGTGAGTGACGGCCCTGGGGACATCTGCAGAGGACGGGCCCCGTGCTCACGGGCACATCTACAGGGGGCTCAGCCTTCCCGCCCGCAAGGTGACTCACCCTCCCCGCGGGCCTCGCCTCGGGTGGTGTGGACGGGAGTGGGGGTGGGCTAGGCCCGGGTGGCCACTCACCGGAGCTGTGCCTTTCGGGGTGAACCATCCCGGCCGCTCCCAGCCCTGTCGCTCCTGGAAGACGCAGCCTTGGGCCAGTAGTTCCTGGGTAGGGGTGGGGAACCAGCACCCTTCAGGCCTGGCCAGACACCCCCCCGCCTCCCGCCATGCAGGGCAGTGAGTGACTGGATTCCCCCCAAGGGGATACACCCCAAGGAGCAGAGGGCAAAGAGGTCCTGAGGCTCGGAGCCAGGACCCAAGCCCAGGCTGCAACTCCTACCCCAGAGCCCCACCCCCAGCCCCAAATTCCTGCTTGAAGCCCTAACACCCCCAGTGTGACCGAATATGGAGGTGAGGCCTTCAAAGAGGCGATTAGGGAAGAATGAGGTCATGGGGTGGGGCCCTGATCCCAGGACAGGGGGACCCAGGGGACCCAAGGAGAAGGCAGGCTTCCAGACAGCTGGGGAGGGGGCCCCAGCTGGAGCCGCTCAGCGTCCAGACCTGGGAGCAAGGAATTTCTTATGGCTTCTCCCCCCCCCCCCCCCCGGCACCCCCGGTCTGTGCTATTGTTCCAGCGGGAGCAGGCTGACCCCGCACGAGACCCGGCGATCCCCCCCGCAGGTGCACCCCTGAGAGAACAGGGAGGAAGCAGGTCTCTGCACACCCAAGTTCACAGCCACCAGCAGCTGGAAGCAACAGTGCCCACCGACCGATGAAAACAGATGAACACGCCTGGTGGACCCACACGGTGCAGTGAGACTGGGCCTTAAAACGCAACCAAGCTCCGACGGGTGCCACACCACAGGCCAGCCTCCAACACAACACGCGAGTGACCTTCTCTTGTGACCCTTCATGACCCGCTTACATCAAGCGTCCAGAGGAGGCGAATCCCCGGACAGAAAACAGATCAGTGGCCTTTCTAGGCTGGGGAGAATGAGGGATCACTGCTTCGTGGGCACAGGGTTTCCTTTCGGGGTGATGAAAATGTTCTGTCACCGGAGAGTGGTGAGGGTCGCACAGGACCGTGAATGCACTTCATCTCCCCGAACCGTAGGCTTTAAGAACGGCTAAAATGGCAAGTTTTATGTGCTGTGTGCTTTAGCGCAATACGAAAACGTAACGGACTGAGTTCGTTTCCTGGGCCCAGTCTGCACGTGCACGCGTGTGGGGACCTGCCACACGGCAGCAAGTAATTCTCCGACCCCGGCAGAATGTCCCAGAAGCCAACTGAACTCTGACACTGTCTCCCCGAGGACGGCATCAGATTTCCCCAGGCTGGGGACTCAGTCCCGCAAGGCTGCCCCCATCTCCTACTCGGGTCCCTCCAGGTTACCTAGACTGGTGACCGACCGGCTGTAGAGCAGGCCCCCTCCTCGGGCTGGATGCATTTGCCCGAGCCGCTCACAAGACTCAGAGAAACGTTTTACCCACTGCATGGCTGGTGTTTCTAGAAGGTTATAGCTCAGGGACAGCCAGATGCAAGAGGAAAGTAGCCCCTGTTGTGTGGAAAGTGCGCGTGGCTTCCGTGCCCCTCCAGGTGCCACTGTGCACAAACCTCCCTGTGCTCACCAACCCGGAAGCTCTCTGAGCCCCTCCTTTTGGGTTTTTATGGAGGCTCCGTGATACGGGCACGGCTGATTGCCCCGGTGGCCGCTGGTGACTGAGGCCACCTCCGGCCTCTCCGTCTTTGTGGCCCTCGCCATTTAGGAAATTCCAAGGGTTGGGGGAACTCTGTGCCAGTAACGGACTGGACGAAGACTGAATTCCTATTTCTTATCCTAAGTCACAATATCACACGGACACAATTAAGTGACATCACGGCAGATTTCTTTGACTGTGAGTTCGGGTTGGGGAAAAACGATCATCTCCGCCCTCAAGTTTGGAAGGGCCCCGTGGCCACGGGCAGCCTTGTCGGACTGGCAGGAGGGCCCAGAGCCCCGGGCCGAGCAGCCTCGGAAGCTGGGTCTGGCAGAGGCAGGCAAGTGCGCAGGCGCCCGCGGCCCCCGACGGGCTGTATCCCGCTGCCTCCCGAGGACCCACCCACACCCTGAGTGGGCAGAGCAGTGGCCAAGAGGACACTGCCAACGGTGGCACCGAGAAATGTCCTCCTCGGACACCCCAGGGGGCAGCACAGGGGCAGTGCTCAACACAAGAAAATCCCCCGGCATGAGTGACGGGGTCCCGTGGATCGAGGAGGAGGTCACCTTCCCAGGGAAGGAAAACAGGGGCGTAGCCGCCTCTGATAAAACCGGGTGGCTGGGGGGGCTGTCGCGAGCAGGGCTGACAGCGCGGACAAGAGGTGGGCGCTTCTGAGCCCGTCTCCTTCCAGCGCAAGTCAGGCAGCCCCCCGTGTTTGTCGGGGAAGCTCTGGGGCTGTCGGGACGGGGTGACCCGGGACGGCAGAGGGGAGCCGGGGGTCACCGTGGCCCGAGATCCCAGCTGGCCCACTAAGCTCAGCTGAGGGGCAGGGCAATGGACCCCGGGTCCCTCTGGGGTCCGGGTGCTGGAGTCCCAGACGAAGGAGGTTCCTTTATTCAGCCTCAGGGCTGCCTGCTCCATGAGCCTGCCTGTCTCCATTCAACAAACACCCCTGAATACGTATTAAAAGTCAGGCTCCGTGCTCAGTGCTCAGAACCGGAGAGACTAGGGCAGAGCTGCTGTTCCCGGGGCCCTAGATGAGGACAGCTTGCAGCACAAGATGGGGGTGGGAGAGGGGACACGGAGGTGGGTTGGGAGCACGAGGAAGGGGACCGTCAGGGGCTTGGGAGAGTGCCAAGGCTGGGCTCCGGGGGGGAGGGCACCTGACAGTGGGTTTCGTCATACGAGTAGGAGCTTGCCGGGGAGGAAAGGCATCCCAAGCAGGCCCCACGCGCAGGACGCATGTCTCTGGGGCTATGCTGCTCTCTGTCACTGCCCGTCCCCGATGGGCGAGCGCACACACCGGCCGGTGCCCCCGCCCCCCACGACCGCCGTCGGCAGTTAGGGAAGGTGCCGGGGTGTGCGCTCCGAGCTCGCTCCGTTGGTGAGAGCTGGGAATGGCCGAGCCACCGCGTCACCTCACCCGGCCCAGAGCACGCCTTTCCGTCGCCCCAGTGCCCCGGACTCCCCGAGAGTGGCCGCTCGTCGGGGTGTGGTACCTCGTGCAGGGGGTCTGTCCTCATGTTGCGCCCCGCCAGGGGCTCATCGTGGGGGAACACAACAGAGTAGTTCTTGGCGTAGGACTCGTGGCTGCGCTCGCGGATCCAGCGGCGGTGGTCGGTGAGCAGGTGATGGAAGCGCCTGTGGCGGGCGGAGGGGCCGGTCACTGCCTCGGGGGCTGTGAGGGAAGGGCCGGCCAAGGACCCGGGGCCAAACCGGACCCTCATCCCTCCACCAGAGTCCTCCCTGGGGCATGGGTTCGGGAGGGGGACGGGCTCTAGTCTCCCGCCCCGGGGCCTCGGGCAGCTAGGCCCCCCCACTGCGACCCCCCCCCCCCCCCCCCCCCCCAGGTCACATGGCCTCTCCTCCAGCCAGCAGCTCGAGACACCCAACGGCTTGTCCTCCGACCGCCCCGGCTGCCCGAGCCGACCGCGTAGCTGCTGGCCCACCTGGATCACAGGCCCCCGGCCCCTCCCACACACAAACCCACCTCTCAGACCCCCAGACCAGCCTCCCCATCCGTCCCTTCCCTCACTGTCCACCCGCTGGCATCTCACGCGCCCTCCCGGCCCTCCTCCCCATCCACGTTCCATCCTCCGTGACGCCTGTCGGAGCCTCACCGGGGCTAACTGACTCTCAGTCTGCACACAGTTCTAGCGAGCACGATGTTCTGGTGGGGGCAGGGGGCGGGGCTACGGATGTGAGTTTATCGTTATGGGTATTATCGCGAGTCGCTGCGATCGTCCAAGGGGCCCCTTCCTGCTGTCGGCCCAGGGGTGAGTGCTGTGTGCGAGAACCTGTCTCAATGTTCAGCGCGGCCTCACGCCGCCCCCTGGTTTGACTCATTTGCACACGAGGGGCGATCCAGCCTGCACTGAGCCAGGAGCTTCTGGGACGAGCTGCAGGGCAGGGGAGGGAGCCACGGAGCCAGGCCAAGGGGCCTAGGGAGTTCCTGAAGGAGAAGCGTGCTGGGGTGCGGGGTTTGGAAGTGCCTGGCCGGCTTTGGAGGGGCTGAGGCGGGCAGGAAGCGGGCTAGGAGGCTGATGGCCACTCTGGTCAGATTCAGGAGCTGGCATGGTTCTCCCAGGACCGGACTGGTGACCTTCCTCGCTGCTTTGAGAGTCCCGGCTGGGGGTGGGGAGCGGGAAGTGGGAAGAGGGAGTCCTGGATTTCCTTCCTCATGCCCCCAGGACAAAAGAGGAAGCTGGGTCTGGGGCGGGGCCGGGTGATCCCTGCAGGCACAGACACGGGCCCCTCCACGGCCCCTCCGGCAGGTTCCCCGTGGCCCAGGACTGCCGCCTCGGCTCACGTCTGTGCACACGTGTGCATGGCAGGCGCGTGGGCTCGAGCTCAGCCAGAGCACGACCAGGGATCGGCAGGGGAATGGGCCCCTCCCTGTGGCCACACAGGCTGGCTTCAGCACTCCTCCTGTGAGCAGGGGGCCCAAGCCGGGGCTAGGGTCCGGCCACCCTCAGCGCTCAAACGATGACGCCTCCTCCCGGTTACTCGGACCCAAGGGCTTTCACTAACAGTCCGGCCTACAACCCCAGACCCTGCCCGTGCCAGGCACCGGGACGCGTACAAGCGAGTCCCAGATGCGCTCCACCGAGAGGTGAGTCATCACCCCCATTTCACAGATGGGGAAACCCTCAGCCTGAGCCACAAGGGTGAGTGGGCTAGTTCACTGCCCCCCCTCTACCCCCCCCAGGCGCCAGCTCGTAGGGGCTCCCCGCCGCCCCTCTCCCCCCACCATACCATCTGCCTCCCAGCCTGTGACGCCCAGGCCCAGCCTCCCCGCCACGAACCAGCCCACAAAACACTCCTGCCAGGCAAGGCAGCTGACGACAGGAGGCCCAGACCCGTTCCTAACCGGGCAGGGGTTTCACAGGCAGCCTCGGGGCTTCCTGCTGAATCCAGGACCGTGCGCCCCCTCCCCGCCAGGCCTCCCCCAGCCCAGGAGGGGGGCAGGCATGCCAGCCCCGTTCTGCAGCCGTGGACGCTGCGGCACCGGGAGGCCGCCCGCCGAGGCCCGGGGTGAGCCCTGACGCGGCGGTCTGTTCCTGTGCCGGAGCCCTCGCCCCCGAGGGAGGCGAGGCGCTGCGTCCCTGCCTGCTCTGGCGCGCGCGCACTGGGCGACTTCAGACAAGCGGCCGCCCGCATCGGTGCCTCTTCTCGCCGTTTGTAGCAGGAGGGGCTTGGACCGGCCCATCCCCGAGGCCCCTTGAAGCTATCATTTCTGGAACATTCCTCTCTTGGGAGCGCGTGGGCGCAGCCCCAGACGGGCTCGGAGGCAGCCACAGAGCAGAGCTGTGCCAGGCGCCGTGGAGGGGGTGGCCGTGGGGGAATCTCAGTGTCTGTCTGTCTGCCTCTGTGAGGTCCAGACATCCCCCCCACTTCCCCAGCGGGTCTAATGTCTTCATCAGGCCAGGAGGGGTGAGGTTAGCAGAGGAGCAGGGGGCATGTTGAGCGGAACCAGCACCCCAGCACCCCCCCCCCCCGCCCACCCCGGGCAGCTGGGGTCTCCCCAGGGAGGCTGTCTGTCAGGAGCAGTAACGGAACAGGCTGCCTGCCCACAGGGGCGCCCCTCCAAGCCGTCGCCTCGACTGCCCCCTGCACGACACCCCAGCCTCACCAACACCCACCCTCCGGATCCTGCCTGGGAGTGAGTGCCTTCGCCCCGCCTGCAGAGGGTGATGGAGACCAGGACCCCCTCCCCCTGCTCTGACGACAGCGCCCCCCCCCTCCCCCCCGGCTCAGGCTTGTCTAGCGTTTCCTTGCAGACGTGACACAGAGAGTTGTGCCTACACAGACGCCCTGGCTGCCCCCGACATTAGCAGCACGCGCGTCATTACCCGGGGCTACGGTGAGGAGAGCGCTGGGCACCGGGTCTGATGTATTCCCGCCACCTTGGACGTGAACGTTCAGCTGGCCTCTGGGCTCGGGGCCGTCTGACTCCCAGCTGCTGCGCACGCACTGATCATAACCACCCAACTCAGCCTCACTCCCTGGGCAACGCGTGGGGTCCCTCCTGCTCCCCAGGCCTCAGTCTCCCCATTTGCCAAATGGGATGAGGCGATCCCACTGCTGATCCTGGAGCCATCCGGCAGGTCGAGGAGGACACTGGGACAAGAAATCCCGGAAACTGTCAAGGGACGTGAATCTGCCAAACCCCGGGAACCTGCAGAACCGTCCCTGCTGGCAGCCTTCTCCCCCTTCTTCCCTTACTGGTGCCTCTTCCAAGAAGCCCTCTGGATTTCAGAGAAGGCTCCTTTCTAAATAGCCCTCGCTATATACCCGGCTCTACCTAATCCCAGGGCACCGGTAAGCAGCCGCCCCGCCCACGGTCTCTGGTGCACACTCGCCTGATGTCATAGCTGTACATGTCCTTCTCTGGGCGCCCGTGGACGATCCAGTGGGCCAGCTCCTGCCCACAGCCGCCACCCAGCATCATTCCTAGAAGGAGTAGGGCCAGAGGTTTGCCATCCGCCCCGGAGCGCCCACCCCAATATCATGCCCCTTCCGTGTCCACAGCCAGCATCACCCCCCGAACCCTGGAGGGGTGGTGTACTGCTGCTAACAGGACCGGAGCCCTCACCCCTGCCAGGGGCCGCTGTGCTCCTGAGCCCCCCACACTCTGCCCGGGGAACCTTTCTTTTTTTTTTGCCTGGGGGAGCTTGAAGATCAGGGTGGTGGGTGTCAAGGAGGGGCCTCTCACACGCACCTGCACTGTTGAAACCGCAGCCCAGGAAGAACCCTCGGAGTTCAGGTGCCTCCCCCATCAGGGGCTTGTGGTCAGGTGTGAAGGACTCTGAAAGGGAGCGGGGCCTGAAGCTCTCCCCGGGCCATATGCACCCGGGGCGGGGTCTCCCGAGAGGGCAGTGATTGGAGCGGGGTCTGCCGCTGCCCCTTCACCCAGACTTTCCCCATCCTCACCACTCCGCTCAATGCCACTTCCTCCAGGGGGCCTCCCTGACTGCTCCTGCCACGCTCCCGAGCTCCTCAGCATTTACTGTCAGAACCACCCTGCTGGGACCGGGTTCTGCTCCTGCCGAGGAGGGGCCTTTCCCTCAAGCCCCCGTCGCAGGGCACCACCTTCCTGCCGCATCACTGCTGGTCATTCTTGCTCACTGGGCCACGAGTGCATGAGGGCAGGGACGGGGCTCCACTCAGTACTGTGTCCCAAGGCCTAGCATGGGGCCCAGCAAACAGCAGGTGTTCGATAAACGTCCCCGAATGAAGGGCTGACCCCCAGTTCTCTGGGAGAGGGACGGGGGTTTCTGCTCTGTTGGCCGAAGGTGTGTCACAGGCGGAACCCAGAGCACGGAGGGCAAGGGACCCTTGGGGAATCATTATAAAGGGCTGAGCTTTGTAGCCACAATCCTGGGCTTGAACCCTGGCCCTGTGACCCTGGCCGAGTCACTTCACCTCTCTGAGCCTCAGTGTCCTCATCTGTCAAACGGGGACCATGGCACTGACTTCACAGGGCTGGGAGTTAGTCCATCCACAAATAGTTGCCGCCCCAAGGAATGTGCCCAGGGCTCGGCTCCGACCATCACTGCTCCGACCCCTCAGGCAGCTGACAAGAGGGGACGGTAAATACGCAAATAAGCAAAACAGAGAATGTCTGGGAAGAAATGACGACGGGAGGAGGGGCGGTGTGAGTGACCCTTCTGGTAGGCACCATGGTCACTAACTATGGAACAGATGCGGAAACTGGGTCACCCGGCTCAGGGCTGCCTGACCCCCAGCCCGAGTTCTCAACCTCTGCGCGGGTCTGTCCCGCGCAGGATGGGGACGGACACGACCCCGTGTGAGGAAGGTCGGGAGCTTCCCGGGCCCTGGGGGAGGAGCGGGGGGGAGGGGGGGTCTGGCGGTGGCAGGGGGCACAGGGGCGGCGAGGGCGAGGGTGACAGTGGTGTGGCCGGGTCACCCACCCGGGGAGCGCTTCGGGAGGGCTGGGGATGTTTCCAGGCGGACAGGAAGGTGAGGACAACCTCACGGGGCATCTGAGGAGAGAGCTTCGTGGGGGTGGGGTGGGGGACGAGAGTCTCTTGAACGTTCAGCCAATGACTCACGACCGAGCAGCTTGGGGATGGATGCAGAATGATGGGATGTTTGGGCAGCACAGATGGGGCCCCCACCTTGGCCGGGACCCCTGGGACCCGGAATGGGAGCTCTGCCCGCCCCCGGATGCCCCGGAGTCCAGGGGGCCTGGGACTTCCCAGTTCTGTTCTGGAAGCCAAAGACCACTGACCTCTCTCGTCCTCCCTGGCAAGGGGAAGCGCTCCGTTCCCCGCGAACCCTCCCCCACAGGCCGGAAGCCAGACACAAGATGTCTTCACACACACATCCCCCCCAGATAGGGCTCCCTGGGAGCAATGACTCCCCAGTCCAATTAAACAGAGGATGTTCCCGGGTGACTCGGGCCCCTGGGATCGTTTCAGGCCTGTGCTTCTCATTGCCAGCCCCATGCAAGCCCGGGGAAGCTGTGGGGGGGGAAGGGCAGCGAGCCTTCGGTCCCCCGCCCACGCCCTGCACCCCGAGTCCAGCACTCAGGGGCACGTCCATCCTGCCCACCGCGGCTGGGCCGCCTCACGAGCCCAACAGATTCAAGCGGCTCCAGGGGCACCGGGCGGAGAGGGCTGGCCCCCCGCCCCGGCAGGCCACAGGCCCCTGGGCATCAGAACCTTCCCCTCTCCTGTCCTGGCCGGCCCCTCACCCCCTGCGTGGCTGTGGATGACCCGTTACTCTCCGGCCTCCGGCTAACCCCTTCCCCTCAGGACCGACGGCAGTCTGCTGGTCCGGGCCGTGCCCCGCACCTCACATGTGGCTTCTCCTCCTTGCTCCGCTCCTGCTGAGTAGGTACGCTGTCACCCATTTCACAGACGAGGACACTGAGGCACCCAGAGCCTCAGACACAAAGTTTCCTCTTTGGACAACACCGTGTCTTTCCGAACCTATCTCCCCAGGCCTGATATGGGGCAAGGCCGGCCCTACCCGTGTTTTTGCCTTGACTGAGGATTAAAGGGACCCTGTGTGTGCCAGGAAGAAAGAGGGGGTGGGGGAGACACCCAGTGGGAGTCCCAGTGCTTCTGCTGGGACAGCAACAGGGGTGTCGTGTCTGTCCTGCTCGCGGCAGGGACGGCCCAGGTCCGTGCCCGACACAGGCCAGCCTCGGTCTCGGGCAGAAGGACCCAGCATGCCTGCCCTTGCTTCCAGCCTCCTCACTCACCCGGGCCACAGACTGTGGACTTGACCCCCGTCTTCTCCAGCACTGGGACGCGGTTGATGGCACCTTCGATGTGCTGGGTGAACACGTCCCAGTCCAGGTCAAAGAGGCCAAAGGCAAACTTGTCTGACACCTGGGGAGGCGGGTGGGGGGAGCCGCCCAGTGGGAGCCGAGCCCGGCCAGTCTCCCCTGGGTTGGGGGGGGGGGTGACAGGGCTGGGCCCCTCAGGTCTCCTGCACCAACCCATCAGTGGGGCCCATCCCCTCCCTTCCCCCGTGCTGGCCCAGGCGCCCCAGCTCTGCGCTGGACTCTTGCAATGGCCTCCACCTGGTCACCCTGCTTTCCTACCTCCTTCGACCTTCTCCTAAGTCAGACCATGCCCTCTCTTGGTCTCCAGCAGCCCTGTGGCTCCCCGTGACTCTGTGGCCCACCGAGGCCTACAGGGGCAGGCCCTGCCCCCGTCCACCACTGGCCCACGGCCACGCTGACCTTCCTTCAGTTCAAGGACAAGCTTGGCCAGACCTCGGGGCCTTCACCCCCGGTCTGAGGCAGCTCCTCACCGACCATGCTCTCTCCAGGGGGGCTCTGCTCTGACGTCACCTCCTCGGGGGGCCCTGCCTGACCACGGCACGAAGCATAGGCCTCCACTCTTACGAGGCTTGTTCCCAACCCGCTGTGCTGAAGAGCACAGGTCACCGCTGCTTGTCTGTTTACTGTGGGTCTCCCCGGCCAGACACAGGCACCCCGGGACAGGGGCTTTCGTGCTGCTCTCCCTCTGTCCCCAGGAAGTAAAACAGAATCTGACCCAAGGTTGTCACTTAATCATTCGATGTCTGCATGAACCCAGGAGCGGGGGCAGCCCAGGCGTGCTCGAGGGGGCCGAGGGGGCCGCCCGACTTCCATGCAGCCCCAGAAGCTGCCAGGAGAGCCGCGGGGCCCGGACAGACGCCACTGCCGTGGGTCCGGGCTCAGGGTTGTTTGCTGTGGACACAGGGTTTTAACGTTTTTGTTGTCTTCCAAAGCTGTGATTTGACATCTCCACAGCCTGTAACCACTGCTGTTTGAGGCCAGCCCTCTCCCTGACCCAGGTCTGGGTCTACCTGTGTGCCACGTTCAGAGAAAACCGAGTTGGCCCTTCTAGGGCCCAGGGACCTGCCATTTCTCAGGTGTGCACCCGAGGAGCTTCAGGAAGGTGGGCTTCCTGGAGGAAGGCTTCTCCACACGGAGACGCAGCCCTGAACCACCCCCCTCCCCGATCCCTCTGTGTCTTACCTCCTCCCAGAAGATGGGGTTGGTCTCATAGCCACCCACAGACAAGGCATCTCCTTGGAGGCGGAGGTAGACAGAGGCATCGTGGTCGCGGACATTCGGCATGTTCTGGAAGGCACAGCAGAGAGGCCTCAGGGTCAGCCAGGGCTGGGCCGTGGGTCTAGTACCTCCACCAGGGGGCACAGGCCCACGGTGGACTATGGTGCCTCCTTTTTGTAGGAGGGCAGAGTGGACCCGGGGTCTCAGGCTACACTGTGGACAAACCACCCCCGCTCAAGTCTCCCCTTCCCCAAACCCCATAGAACAGCAGCCATTAGGAGAGCGAGGCGGGAGGGATGAGGTGTAGCCCACAACGCTAGGAGAGCCGCGGGGGGACAAGCGCACGCAGGAGAAAGGAACCAACGCTGGAGGGTGTGGAGCGGAGGCCACGCCCCAGCTCGGGTTCGGGGCGGGGAGACTGCACAAGTTGAGCCAGTGCCACCCTCCATCCCCTCCAATCCGTAGAGACCCAGCTTGTGGCAACCCAGCTCCCTCTGCAGGGGCCGACGGGCAGACTGCATGGTGTGTGTGCACACACGCGTGGATGTGAGAATGTGTGTATGCGTGTGCACATGTGTGAGTGGGAGACAAAGAGAATGTGTGTGAACGGGAAGACAGGCCAGGGTCTCTTCAAAGCAGTGGGCCCAGATCCCCTCCGTCCTCCCCAGCTAAGGCCCGGCCTGGGGACAGCCCCACGGGCTGGAGGAGTGAGTCTCCAGGTTCGGGGTGGTGAGGAGTGGGTTATTGTTCCCCCTCGACAGCAGCCCAGGGACCCTACTGTGGAGACACGAAGTGGCCCGTGGAAGGCTCCAGATGCTGACACCAGGGCCGCTCGCCAAAAAGGATGGCTCACCCTCACCCCCTGTGAGATGCCCTCCCTCTCCAAGCTTCCAGTCGGCCTGTGGACTTAAAAGCGAAACCGGGGACTTCGGAGCTGTGACAAGACTGGGTCCGTGAAATAAGGTGCCATGGAAAAGGAACAATCCCTGATCAAGAAAGAGGTCTTGAAACAGGAGATGATCATCAAAATGAAAAATGCAACAGGCGGGTTGGATAAGACCATCTTCCGTATAGGAAGCTAAACAAGATGAAGAAATGGAAATCAGGAAAGGAAAAAATAAGGAAATCACGAGGTCAACCCTAAAGGTCCAACATCCACCTTATCGGGGGTTCCAGAAAGACAAACAGAGGAAATGGAGTAGAGGAACATCAGAGCAATGAACCTGGACAACTTCTCAGATTGAAAGTCACGAATCTCCATATTGAAGGAGTCCTATCACGCCCCATGAACGGACAGGCTGGCACCGAGGCATGCTGGGGTGAAACATGGGAATAGCATCCTGGAGACTGAAGGACCTGGAGCGGAGTCTCCAAAATTCCACAGACAATTTTATTTTATTTATTATTTAAAAAAAAATTTTTTTTAACGTTTATTTGTTTTTGAGACAGAGAGAGACAGAGCATGAACGGGGGAGGGGAAGAGAAAGAGGGAGACACAGAATCCAAAGCAGGCTCCGGGCTCCGAGCTGTCAGCACAGAGCCCGATGCGGGGCTTGAACTCACAAACTGTGAGATCACGACCTGAGCTGAGGTCTGGTGCTTAACCGACTGAGCCACCCAGGCGCCCTATCCACAGACAATTTTAGATGGAGAATTCTAGACCCCGTCAATCCCTCAATCAAGTGTCCGGAAAGAATAAGGATTATTTCAGACATGGATGAACACAAAAACATTTTACTTCCCATATGCCCCTTCTCAGTAAGCAACCAGAGCGCATGCACATCAAGGATCCAAACAGAAGAGGCGTGAAGACGGCCCCAGGGTCAGAGCCGAGCAGAGGCCAAGAGGCAGGCAGCCCAGAAAAGAGCCACTCAGAAGAGCAGAAGGCTTCCTCCAGGGCGGGGAGAATGGGACATAGAGACCGTATGTGATTTCTCTGGTGTGCACGAGTTGTGCAGAGCATACTATTGAGAGCTAGTTGACAGACATGTTGAAATGTTGGGGGGGGGGGGCGGAAATGTGACAGTTACGAACATACATGCAAATAACCTCAACAAAATACCAGCCAACTGAACCCAGCAGCATACAAGAGGAGTGTATGCCATGACCTAATGGGGGTTATCCCAGGAATGCAAGGTTGGCTTGACATCTGAAAATAAATCCTTGTGATACACCATAGCAACAGACTAAAGGATGAAAACCAATCATTTCAATAGATGCAGAAAAAGGATTTCCAACATCCTTCAAGACAAAAACACTCAGCAATCTAGAAATAGGAGGGAACTTCCTGACAAAGGGTATCTAAGACACACCCACAGCTAAAACATACTTATTTTCAGCTCTTCCTTTAAGGTTAGCCTAATGATAGGTCTACCTCACCACTTCAACTCAGCATCATATCGGAGGTTCTAGCTGAGGCAGCAATTAGACAAGAAAAAATAATGAGAGGCATTAACATTGGAAGAAGGAGCAAAACTTTCTTGTTGCAGATGACGTGATCTTACATATAGAAACCCCTAAGGAACCCACTAAAAAACTGTTACAACTAACAAAATAGTTCAATAAGGTGGCAGGATACAAGATCAATGCGTAACAGACAAAAATTATTGTATTTCTTCACTTCACTAATGATGAGCAAAAAAAAAAAAAAAAAATGAAATTAAGAAAATGACTCCACCTACGTCATCAAAAAGAATTTAAAAATACCCACAAATTCAACAAACGAAGTACAAAACTTGTACTCTGAAAACTCAGCAATATTTTTGAAAGAAATTAAAGGAGGCCTGAACGAGTGGAAAGACATCCCATGATTACAAAATGAAGACTTAATATTGCTAAGATGATGTGCTCTCCAAACAGATCCAGATTCAACATGATCACCGTTAAAATCGCAGTGGGCTTCTTGGCAGAAATTGACAAACTGATCCTAAAATTCATATGGAAATGCAAGGGACCCAGAATAGTTAAAACCATCTTGAAAAAGAAGGACCAAGCTGGGAGACTCAGGCTTCCTGATTTCAAAACTCACTACAAAACCATTGTAATCAAGACACTAACACAAGGATACGCATATAGATCACAAATGGGGATGAGAGTCCAGAAATAAACCCACACGTTTATGGTCACTGCTTTTCCACAAGGATGCCAAGGCCACGTGAGGAGGAAGCCACGGTCGTCAACACGTGGTGCCCGTGCAGCTGGACAGCCACACGCAGAGAAGGAGGCTGGGCCCCTACCTCACACCATACACGAACCATAGTCAAAGTGGGTCCTAGACCTAAGAGTAAGAGCTAAACTATACGATTCTTAGAAGAAAACACGGGAGTAAGTCTTTGTGGCCTTGGGTTAGGAAATGCCTTCTGAAATATGACCCCAGAAGCACAAGCAACAAAAGAAACAATCCGTAAGTTGGATTTCACCAAAATCAAGCCCTTTTGTGCTGCCAACAACACCATCAAGAAAGGGAAAAGACAACCCACACAATGGGAGGAAGTATCTGGAAGGCATAAATCTGATAAGAGACTTGTACCCAGCATATAACAGGAACTCTTATAACTCAATACAAAGACCAGTAACCCAATTTCAATGAGCAAGGTGTCTGAATAGACATTTCTCCAAAGAAGATGCACGAATGGCCAGTAAGCACATGGGAAGACGCTCACCATCATTAGCCAGTAGGGAAATGCAGCTCGAAACCCCAGTGAGATCCCACCTCACACCCACTAGGATGGCTGGGATCAAAGAGAGAGAATCACCAGTGGTGGCGAGGACTTGGAGAAGTCACAACCCTCACCCACTGTGCGTGGGAACGTAAAACAATGCATGTGCTTTGAAAACAATCTGACAGTTCCTCAAACAGTTAAACATAGAGTTACTATGTGACTCAGCAATTCCACTCCATGATATCTACTCAAGAGAAATGAACACATATGTCAACACAAAAACATGTTCATGAATGTTCACAGCAGCATTATTCATAACAGCCAAAAAGTGGAAACAACTCAAATGTCCGTCAACAGATGACTGGACAAATAAAAGGGGGTCTAGGATAGAATATTAGTTAGCCATTGAAAGGAATGAAATTCTGATATATGCACCACATGGATGAACTTTGAAAATGTCATACTGAGTGAAAGAAGTCAGACGCCAAAGGTCATATATGGTATGATTTCATTTTATTAAATGTCCAGAATAGGAAAATCCATAGAGATAGAAATCAGATTAGTGATTATCTAAGACTGAGGGTTGGGTGGGAAATGGGGAGTGACTGAAAATGGGTATGGGGTTTGGGGGGATGAAGGTAATGTTGATAGATAGATAGATAGATAGATGATAGAATTAGTGACAGTTACATAGAAAACTGAACAACTGGAAAACAATAACTCCAGGAAACACAAAAGTCAGACACTAGTTTGCTCAGGAGTTAACAGTATTTACATTGTCATTACATTGCGAACACTGCCTACTCATTTCACCAAAAACAAACCAAAATCACTTTAGAAAGTGACCAAGAGTCAGGAGACGCCACATCCCCTGCTGTTCTTTGGCTCTGGAGGAGCTGCCTTCCCTCATGGACCACTTACCCTGGAGACAGGCACATGATGTGGGACTCCTCTGCCCCGTCTCCACACAGAGACCAAAAGGGATAACCTGGTGGATGCCCCTCCCTCCCACTCCAGCCTCCTAGTTAGCTGGACAACTAGGAGGACTGTTGTCGAAGACAACAGTCGAAGGACTGTTGTCAAGAACGTGTAAGAAGTTCTCCGTAACGGAGCCCTTCGGAAACAGTAATCATCATATCATTACTTCCATTGTCACTACCACTCTACAAGCGAAACAGAAACTCTGGAGCTCCATAGAGCAGGACAGTGGGGACACCTGGTGGCCAGGGAAGTCCCAGACTTTTGCTCCAGCAGGATCAGTGTCCCCAGCTCCTGGCCCCAGCACACTGAGCTGCCTTGAGTGCCCAGCACATGCTCAGTTCAGCCCCAAGGCGTCCTCTGGGCACTCTCATTGCCATCGCCACGCAGAAGCCCCCCCCCTACAGGTATGACCCCGTCCCACTGATGTCTCTGCCTCTGGACCTCAGCCCACTCCCTTGCATTATTTCTCCTGCCCCCCATCCATCCAAAACCTGTTGGCCACTTCCTCTGGGAAGCCTTCCGGATTGTTCCAGCTTTCCCTAATCTCTTCTTCTGAAGCACCAGCTGGCCAGACCCCTCTGTGCCCCCTTGGTCCTGGTCATCGTCATCCTCACCATCGGCTACAGGCCAAGCACCGTGTTTGGCCCTTCACCTCGCGCAGCCCTGTGCGGTCCATATGGTTATCACTTGTTTTGCAGAAAAGGAAACTGAGGCCCACCCAGCACTATGACTTTCCTGGCTGCATTATTGGGGGCTGAAATGCAGCCCCCGAGCCTGGGCTTTCCCATCGCTCGGTGCCCAAGCAGAATAGCTTCTGCAGAAGCGGGCAGAGGTTGGTGGGAAAGCCAGACCAGCAGAGAGCACTGGGCACTCTGTTTGTCAGCCACAGACACCAGGCCCAGAGAGGGAAGGCACCAGGTCATAGAGGAGCTGGGGGCAGTGCTTGGCCTGGACTCAGCCCTGGGTCAGACCCTCAGGGGTGCCCAGGGTAGCACAGCCCTGTGGCCACCCAAGGAGAGTGATCCCTCCCGGGGACACAGCCCCTGTCCTGCCCACAGGCTGTCCCCAGCTTTCCCCAGCTGTAGTCTGAGCCCACGGTGGCCTGAGGGCGACCCCTGGCGGCCACCCGGGGAGCCCTCCCCACAGAATCAGGGAGCACGTGGCACAGAGCAGCCCTTTGGAGGCCTCGGTGGGATCACATTAAACTCATCCACGAACAGGAGCAGGGGCAGGAGTGGTGGGGAGGCCACCTAGCAGCCAGCCACTGATGAGGGAAGCCAGGCTCTTCCAGGGCAGAGAGGAGGCTCCAAGACCCTCTTTGCGGGGTCCCACCTCCCACTCTCCCGCCACCACCGTCAGGCCCCTCTCTGAACTGCCTGTGGGTCCCGCACCGCCCTCCTCCTGCCCTCTTCCTGCACTCCCTCCCTGGGCTGGGAGTCCGGGAAGAAGCCCTGTGCCGGCCTCCTCAGAGCCCTGCCCCACCACTGCCATTGCGCCCCCATCAGCCTGCTCCGAATTTGCTCCTTTGCCTGTCCGTACCTCCCCCCAGCTTCACCCAGACAAGAACTGGGTCCTTCTCTCCGTCACGTCACAGCCCTGGTTTCTAGGATAGGGCCTGAGACGCTGCAATGTTTGCGGGATGTGAGCAGGGTGAAGGAGGGAGGGTTACATCGAATGGGAGGTAAATGGGTTAATAAACAGACG